TCAGCAGCAACATGAAACAGATCAGCGGCAACATGAAACTGATCAGCAGCAACATGAAACTGATCAGCAGCAACATGATGTGGTTTTTCACAGTGATTATTCTAGTTAGAGATTCATGAGTCTAACAGCCTCGGGGTAGAAGCTGTTCCTCAGTCTAGTGGTTCTACACTTAATGCTCCTTAACCTCCTTCCTGAGGTGAGGACTGAGCTTCCCAGACCAGCTCGCCTCAGCCGCCTGAGGAAGTAGAGTCTCTGATGAGCTTTCTTCATCAGGCTGGTGGTGTTGTTGCTCCAGCTGAGGTTGTTGTTCATGTGCACACCCAAGTACTTGTAGCTGGAGACCACTTCCACCACAGATCCTCCTATGTTCAGGGGGATGTAGGTGTGTTTGTTCCTTCTGAAGTCCACGCCCATCTCCTTCATCTTCTTCACATTGATCTGAACGTTGTTCTTCCTGTACCAGCTCTCCAGGTGTTCCACCTCCTCCTTGTAGCTGGACTCATTGTTGTTTGTGATGAATCCCACCTCCGCTGTATCATCGGCAAACTTTACAATATGACAGCCTGGATGTGTAGCTGCACAGTCATGCGTGAGCAGAGTGAACAGGAGAGGGCTCAGCACACATCCCTGAGGGGAGCCAGTGCTGAGGTTTATGGTGGAGGAGGAGAAGTTGTGGATCCTCACTGGAGTTACTGGGAGAGATCATCTCTCTCCAGTTTTAGCTTCTCTCCATTGGCTCCCTGTCAAATCCAGAATAGAATTCAAAATCTTACTTCTAACCTACAAAGCTCTCAACAACCTAGCTCCATCTTATATTACAGATCTTATTGTTCCATATTTTCTTAACAAAGCACTTTGCTCTCAGACTGCAGGTTTACTTGTGGTTCCTAGAGTTTCCAAAAACAGAATGGGAGGAAGATCTTTCAGTTCTCAGGCTCCTCTCTTGTGGAACCAACTTCCAGTTTCTGTCCATGAGGCTGACACATTGTCCAGTTTAAGACTTTCCTTTTTGATAAATCCTATAGTTAGGGTTGACTTGTTATGCTGCTATAGGCTTCGACTACTTGAGGACAAACTGACCTCATTTCTTTAAATGATTTGCAGTTTTTTCTTTCCACTGTCACCTTCATGTTCAAGATGAGAGTTCAGTGACGGAGTTAAACTCGAAGCTGCTCCTCAGATAAATAATGTTCAATTATTATTTTTATAGATGAATGTTTCTGCTCAGTCCCTGAGACGACTTTTGTTGTGACTTGGAGCTTTAGAAATAAACTGAAGTAAATTGAATTGAATTGAATTCACTGTGTGTGAGCCAGGAGACACCCTGGACAGGTCTCCAGTCCATCACAGGGACACATAGAGACAAACGAGACAAACAATCATTCACTTTCTCACCTAGGGACAATTGAGTTACCAGTCAGTCTAACATGCATGTTTTTGGTCTGTGGAGGAAACTGGAGTACCCGCCCCACTCCCGGCCTGGAGGTAGTCCTGCAACCTTCTCACTGAGAGGCAGCAGATCTACTACCTGCTCCATTGTGCCACCCAGGAAGCAACATACATATGAATTATTGCTTTATACCAATCTAATTTAAGATATGCTTATTTTTTGTCAGTAACTAAAAGTATAATTGACACAGAATAGCATTTGATACGTTTTGGGATTTATGTTAATCTCACCCCAAATTTTTCAGTCTGAAAAGTGAAATCCTATAAACGTTATACGCACACAGTAGGTGCATGTACAGTACAGTATACGCAGGCCAGGCTCACAGACCGTTGTGTCCACAACTCTTGGGTTATAATTCAGAGTGGTGCTAGGATTATGAATACCAACAGCCACATATTTATTCTGAAACTGATTTTGTAAAAAGGCAGCAATCCTTATGCTTTATAGTGTCTTAGTTTAAAGTTAATAATTTTTAAAGTACAGCAGTCCTTCATTTATCGCAGGGGGATCTGTACCCTGAAAACCCACGGTAAGTGAAAAACTGCAAAGAAGGAATAGTAGTTCAAGTCGTAAGTAGTCGTTT